GGATCCAATCAGGGAGGATGATACCCACTTCTAGTAGCTGATCTGGAGGTGTGAATTCCAAGAGAGGAGAAGCTGCTTTTGTAGTTAGCAAGCCATTCACAGTCTTTGTTTAATCCAGAGTTGATTGTGTCAAACTTGAAGATGAACTGTAGCTCAGTAGTTTCTCTTTGAAGTCTGGTCCTGAAGATTTTTGCTGCAAGATGGCTACCTTTAGATCTGCAATTGTGTGTCCAGGGAGATGGAAGTGTTCCCCTACAGGTTTTTGTATGTTGCCATTCCTAATATCTGATTTGTGTCCATTGATTCTTTTACATAGGGACTGTCCAGTTTGGCCGATGTATATAGCAGTGGGGCATTGTTGGCACATGATGGGATATATTACGTTAGTAGATGTGCAGAAGAATGAACCAGTGACAGTATGGCTGATCTGGTTAGGTCCTGTGATCGTGTTGCTGGTGTATATATATGGGCAGAGTTGGCACCGAGGTTTGTTGCATGGTTTGTTGCATCCAATCCTCCCTGATTGGATCCACCTTGTCATCTCCAGCCTGATTCTGGCCTGCATATTTATACCTGCCTCTGGAAATTTCCACTACATGCATCTGACGAAGTGGGTCTTTGCCCACGAAAGCTTATGCTCCAACACTTCAGTTAGTCTATAAGGTGTCACAGGACTCCTCGATGTTTTTCTAGTGACAGTGAGGATGAGCAGGACATATCCTCCCCATCACTCCTTGCCCAAACCGACTTCACAGCTCCACCAGCAACAACAGATTGTGCAGATCCAAGTATGGAAGCCCTTCCCATAGCTCCCTCCCATCCCACTCCCACAGCATTGGCAGGGATGGGACCCATGGAGTACCATCAAGGCCCAGATGCCACCACAAGTGATACCTAGATCACAACAAGTGATCCCTGCCCCCTTGTGTCTGCAGCTTCAAAAATTACGCAAGGTGACACTGAGGATCTGGACGAGACCCAGGAGGAGGACACACTACCTCTGTCTCATATTTCTTCATCCTCCCTGGACGAATCCATAATGTCCCCGCTGCCTATGATGTGTGATGATGTCAGGTTCTTCCAGGACTTGTACAAGAGGATGGCTTATTCCTTCACCATATCACTGGTTGAGGTCCCGGACATTCAGTATAGGTTAATGGACATATTACAGTCCTCGCCTTTGGCTTTAAGAGCATTGCCTATTAATGAGGCCATCCTTGATCTGGCGAATATATTATGGCACACCCCGACTTCTATCTGACCCACTTCTAAGAGGGTGGATAGAAGATACTACCTTCCAGCTAAAGGGGCTGAGTTCCTCTTTACACACCCAGCCCCTAATTCACCGATTGTCGATGCTGCAAATAATAGGGGCAAACAGACCCAGTTCAGATTGACCCAATACGACAAAAACTGGAAAAGGCTGCACATCCTAGGGAGGAAATCATACTTCTCGGCATCTCTTCTTATTAGAATTGCAAACTATTTGGCATTGTTGGCAAAATATACTTACAGCCATTTCAAAAAAATGAGACCTTTTATTGACAAATTACAGGACAAGAACTCGGCAGCATTTAAGACCAATATAGACGAGGGTACCCTGATAGCGAAAATGGCACTCCAGGCTTCCCTGAATATGGCCGACATGGCTTCAAGATCTCTTGCCACATTGGTCATCATGCATTTTGTCTACTGGCTGCACCTCTCTGGCTTCCCTAGGGAGGTACAGAACATGGTTGGATATCTTCCATTTGAGAGCCAGAAGTTATCCTCAGCTAAATACTGATGCATCCCTACGTTCCCAAAGGCAACCCTGAAAACTCTGGGGATGTATGTCCCTCAACTAAAGAAGAAAGTTAACCATATGTACACGCCACAGGACAGAGCAACATCCTACCCACCTCAGAGGGCCTATGATCTGAGACGCCATCAGAGACAGCAAAAATGTAGGCAACAACACAAGACCAGTAAACAACGCCCCAATCCTCCTACAGTAGGCAGACGTTTTTAACTGTTGGTCAAGGGTTCAACATCGTTTCCACCAGCCAGCATTACAAATTCAGTCTGCAACCATTTTATCACGAATGGTCCAACATAACAACAGACAAGTGGGAGATCTTAGCCAAAGACCTAGCAATTCCATTTCTCAAATTTCCACCAACCCAAATCCCTTACCCATCCCTCCTCAGGGACCCCTCTCATGAAAACAAGAGATAAATAAGCTCTTATAGATGGGAGCAATAGAGATCATCCCAAAACATTGCAGGGAAAAGGGGTTCTACTCCAGCTACTTCCTCACACCAAAAAAGTCGGGGGGATGGAGACCAATATTGGACTTGCTCAGACTGAACAAATACCTAAAAAAAACGATTCACCAAGGTAACGCTGGCAAAGATAATTCCTGCACTAGGAAAAGGAAACTGGATGTTGTTCCTTGACGTTCCAGATGCATACTTTCACATAGCAATAAGACCATCCCATAGGAAGTTTCTCAGATTCACAATTTAGACAATCACACAAGCTATTTGTCTCAATAGCAGACTGCTCAAAAGAGCGAGCGGCATCCAAACAAAGACTTTCCAAATGGATAGTGAACTGGATTTGAGAGTTCTATAACATTAATAAAGTCACATTACCTACGTCTTTACGGGCACCTTCCACTAGAGCGATGGCCACATCAATGGCCTTCCTACACAACATGCCCATCAGAGACATTTTCAGGGCAGCAATATGGACTTCCATGCATACTTTCACAAAACATTTGTAATAGATACTTATCCATCTCATTGTACCACATTTGGGATGGCAGTTCTCTTGGTTGTCTGCCAGTGTGGTCCAAAGCCCCTCTTTCCTGAAAGCTAATGGTACTGCTTACCATAACCTATAATGGAGCACCCACAGGGACACTCTTCGAAGAAGAAAAGAGAGGTTACACACTTTGTGCAGTAACTGGTGTTCTTCAAGATGGGTGTCCCTGTGGGCACTCAACAAACCACCCTCCTCCCCTCTGCTTCAGAGCTTTTAACATCTCTTCATGGTAGAGAAGGAACTGAGGGGACTGTTGACTGCACGCATGCGTCGGCACACTCACTGCATTGTGAGTGGTGCAGCATGTGCATGCCAGCACCTGGGGGGGAATACTGCTGCTGAAAAGTTCTGATTATAAGTGCAGGGGCACCTTGTCACGCTCTGTGGAGCACCCACAAGGACACCCATCTTGAAGAACACCAGTTACAGCACAAAGTGAGTAACCTCTCTCTTTAAATTTGGCCCAGAGGTTTCAAGGCACTAACTGTCTCCCCAGCTGCTACTATGCAGTGGAATTATATCTATCAGCTTTGCAGTTGTGGGTAGAAATAATACAACAATGTTCTGGAGAGGAGAAAGGCGGTTTCCTGCAGCCTGCATTGGCCTGTCATGGAGCCAGCATCTCTAGTTTTTCTGGAGTTGTGCGGGTTGGGAGAACATATATTAAACTGGATCAAGCAATTAGCTCCCTTTCAATTATAAACCTAATATTTTTTTCCTGCCTTATAGGTGACATGTTGCTGCTTTAGTCCCAGTAAAGCAACTTTAGTGTTTGCTGGAACAATGGATGGTTCATTGGTAGTGTGGGATCTCAGAGAAGATTCCAGAATGCATCTCTGTATGAAGTTAAATGAAACTGACTGGATTTTTAGAGCTCCAACATTTTCTACTGGTTAGTATGATGTGTGTCTTGAATGATCATTTCACATTCCAGGGAGGTGTCATAAATTATAAGAAGAAATATTAGCTTTTGCTAACTTAGGCCAAATCAGAGATGATATATAAGATGGAAAAATGTACGTGTCAGTAATGGGTGTAAAGGAATGTGAGTTGCTGTAACTTACATACCAGTGGATTGGAATGGAGAAGTGTATCAGCAGAGAACATATGTCTACTTTTCACCTGGGAGCATAGGAGGCCATGGTATCATGGGTTTGGGTTAGCTATCTGAATATAGTCAGACCGTGTCACCTAAATACATACTTGGGTGGCTATCCCATGCTTCCACAGTTACACTGCTATTTTTTGTGTGATAGCTTAAGCAGAATTCATCTGTCTACCTGGTCCATAGCATAGACATACCTTATGGGGCTGTAAGTTCAAATAAGCTACTCTCTCCCCTCTGACTTTTAAGTTGCATAATGAAGGACCAGCTGAGGTCATTAGCTAAATCAAGTTAGCCTCCCTTACACTCACTTTGACTCCCTTATATACCTTAGCATACACTTCTCTTATAACTATTTATATTCCTACTTATTGACATGACTGGGATTTTCAGGAGCACCTAAGCAATTTACTTGCATAAATACCATTGACTCTCTGTGAGACTTGTTCTCCTAATTCTAATATATCTGAAAATACCACCTGTGTAATTTATATCACCTAGAATTTCATCTGATTACTAGTCTCAGAAGGGTAGCTGTGTTAGTCTGTATCTGCAAAAACAACAAGGAGTCCTGTGACACGACTAACAGATTTATTTGGGCATAAGCTTTCATGGGTAAAATCCTCTTTGTCAGATGCATGGAGTGGTAAAAACCACGTCGTCAGAGGCATGGAGATCTGTTTATGCCCAAAGAAATCTGACAGTCTTTAAGGTGCCATCTGATTACTGAAATATTTGTGGTAGGGCTATCTTCTCCATGATCATTTATTGCCCATATATCTATCAGGCATTGTAACAACATAATTTTTTAGGGAATCATGGTATACTTCCACATAAGTCTACATTGCGCATGTAGTGAGTTTAGCACTGGTCAAAATTTGAGTGTGACTTTTGACAGGGGTTGATTGTCAGGCCAGGCCTTTTTATGATGTCGTCAATTCAAAGTAAATGCCCAGCAAGGATCACATCACTGAAAAAAATATGCTTGTTAATATATCACACCTCATCAGTATTTTGGAGACACTGGCTCAACATCAGAGGTGCTGTGTATAATGGTGTATGGAGGATTAGATTCCTTTAGACTTACTTGTGGTCATTTGCTGATGTGTAAAAGTATCAAAGCTGGTTTTACTTATACATTAGGAAGCTATAAGAGTTCAAGAGTGTGGATGTCATCTACTTACCACCTTCTGTAGTAGATTTTCCTCCTGTGTTCCCTCTCCCAACCCCTTGGCATGTGATTAAAACAACTTAGATTTTCTTAGATTCCCCTAAATGCAGTGTGGAAAATTCAGAATTTTATATAAGGCATGTAGGTTACATATTGGTAAGCAGATGTGGGTCTAAGTATTAGCTTAAGTCAGTGGGATTCTACACAAATGAAGAGTTTACTCATGCAGATTTAATTGTTGAATCAGGTTGGCAAGTAACCTTAGCGTGATTTTAATCTAGTATAGTTTATATGTTGAAGGAGCCAGAACAAAGTGTATATTCTATCAGTCTAGACTCTCAAGATTACTTCTATCTCACTTGAAAATTGCCCCCCCCCCCCCACCTACAGTTACACTGCAACAGAGAATGGGAGTCATTTCAAAGCTGCAGCCCGTCTTTAATCTAATTGGGGTCTTTCGTTGTATTGCAAAGTGAGTCTATAGTTCTATTTTTAATATAGAAACTACATTGAGATACGGGGTACACATTATTGGGCTGTTGATAGATGTTTTAAGTTAAGATCTTTAGTCTTGTGCTGCACAGAGCACTAGTAGCCAAGTATGTACAGCCTGTTGTGGCTTATTGCTTATGTTAACACAATAATTTTAGTACAGGTCCCAAATCCGGGGCTCTCTGGTCTCAGCACAAGGAGGCTGATCCTGGGAACCCCGGCATGGGGCTGGCAGCAAGGTGGAGAGCCCAGGTTCTGGAGACCTCCACAACCGAGAAAAGAGCCTTGACTTCCCCTTCTTTGGCAAACTCCCTGGTTTGGGACCACTCAGGGCCTGAGAATTCTGCATCAGGGAGGTCCAATCTATACTGCACACTTATTGGAGTCTCATCTCTTTAACCATAAAGGAAGACAATTTCACTTTCAGCATAAAATCTTTGGAAATCATAATCTTTGACAATGGGATACATAATGAAATGACTCCTCTAAATATGCATTTGTTTCTAAAATCGTACTAAATGGTAGGTATTTTCTAATTAAAGATTATTCTTTGTGTAACTGCTTTTTTTTTTTTGTGAACAAACTCGACATCTCTAGAAGAATTATTTTTCTACCGGTTTTGTCTTTCCCAAATAAAAAACATGTTTCCTCTTCTGTGGATGTTGAGAGAGCTTGTAATAATTATAGCTGGTTACTTTTTTGAGTATCAGCAGCTATAAGAATGTCACCACTGTACAAAAAATAAATGGAAGCTTATTTACCTGATAGTGCTCTGGAAACAGTGTGTATTACCTGCTGCTATAGAAGTAACAAGGGAGTAATGTAAGTGCCAGATTTTTGTTTTATCACATTTTGTAAAGTTTAGGTTTTATTTTAAAAGGTTTTAAGTTCAAATAGATATAACATTTTAGAAACTTTACAAAGTCAATAGTGTGATTAAAAATGGCACTTCTACATGACCCTTCTGGAGGCCTTTATGATTTCTATCAAGTACAATGAGAGCTCTGGAGTAATTTTGGTTTAGATCTGATTCAAAACAGATAAATAAATGTTCCAACATTATTGGCACAGTACAATCTGGAGCTACGTCTAGACTGCATCCCTCTGTCGACAGAGGGACGCAAATCAAGCACATTGAAATTGCTAATGAAGCAGGGATTTAAATATCCCATGCTTCATTAGCATAAAATGGCTGCAGCTTTTTTTTTTCGAAACGGAGCTTTTTCGAAATAAACCCGGCAGTCTAGATGTGGCTCTGTCGAAAATAAACCCTTTTTCAACAGATCCCGTATTCCTCAAAAAATGAGGTTTACAGGAGCTGTAGAAAAAGGGTTTATTTTCAACAGATCCATGTCTAGACTGCCTTTTTTTTTTGGTTTTGGTTTTTTCCCTGAAAATGCTCCATTTCGAAGAAAAAAGCGGCAGCCATGTTTATGCTAATGTAGCATGGGATATTTAAAGCCCTGCTTCATTAACAATTTCGACGTCCCTAATCTACATCTCTCTGTCGACAGAGAGGTGTAGTCTAGACACAGCGTGGAGCAAAACATGGAATGAGGGCCAGTAGAGCTGGGCATCAAGAAGACAAAAGGCAAAGGTAAACATTAGTTATTTTCTTGTTGACTGCCCCTTCATCTCTCATTACTATTTGTGTCATTCACCGCAGAACTTGAAAGCTGGTGATTTTTAAAAAAATAACTTTACTATTCAGACTTTCATAAAATAAAATAGGATTAAAATAGACGTAAGCATTATTATATTATTTCCATTTTACATTAATAGATAATTTATTCTTCCTTCATGCTGTTAGTTGTCGTTTTGATTATAGTGCTGGGATACACTGTTAATCTTTTCTTGCTGCTATTTAAAAAGAGTTCTCATGTATATATCAACACTGTTGATGGTCCTTTTCACTGGCGATTTTCATAGTCAACATTATGTTTACCTGGCATTTTTCAGATCCTTAACTCAATTAATTTTTGTTTTTCTTAATTTACTCTGCGGTGGGGCTGGAGATGTGGGGTTCAATATTAAGGCTGCCTCAGGGAGAGAGGACTACCCCAGCCCTCTCTCACCACAGCAGCTTGGGGCCAAGTGAGAAGCTCTAGTGACCACAGCCTGGGGATGGGTGCATATCCCCGGGCTGGGACAGGTCCAGGTCTGTCTGCTCCCTATACTACCCAGCCAGACTGAGGAATGGAGCAAATTGTGCACTTTCCCCTCGCTCCCTGATGAAGGGGAACAGCCAGCAATGTTCCTGTATGAATGGGGGAAGGAAGAGCTGAGCAACCTCCCAATCTAAAGGACACCTACGTGGTGGGATGCTGCAGCTCCTGGATGGGGGTGGGGGATGTCCCAGCCAGCCCCTTTAACCTGCCTGGTGATCCTGCCTGTTTTGTACGGTTTTTTTTATGTGCATGTACATATCCAACCATACCCTTACCTGGCTTTAAATTATAAGAGGAAGCTGTATACCAAATGTGGTAGTCCTAGTTCTTATCGTTTTAGGAGTTCTTGAACAAATGGATGGACAGACATTCGCTCACTCCCAGACAAATTCTCTCAAATATATAGTAGATTTGAAGATTCAATAAAAGGAAGGCACAAAATATTCTAAATATTTATTCTTGTTTTGTTTCCCTTGTTCGGACTGTAACTTGAATGGATCTATCCAGCTATGGGTATTTGTTCCTCAGGGACCTATGCCCCCTTCACCATTTTCTACCACTACTCTGTTTAAATTAATAACCATCTTGTAAGGTTTTTCAGTTTTAACTTTATGTTGGGGTTGTCTCCAGCCACCATTTCTGCAGGGTACATGATCAAGATCCAGCTACTAACAACTGGCTGCCAGCACTGAAAGCACCTTAAAATGAAGTTCTGTCTTATTTTTTGTTGTGTAACTTCATAAAAACACTCAAACTGATTTTCTTCATATTTTTCCTATAAACTTTCATCTGAGATTGGGATGTATATGGAACAAATTTTAACACTAGAGTTACAAACCCTTGGAAAAACAGTGAGTAGTCCTTCAGCACCTTAGAGACTGTTTTTAAGTTTTTTCAGTTACAGACAACCGTGGATACCTCTCTGAAAACTTGGAAAAAAGTGTTTTTTTTAATGAAATAGCGAAAGCCATGGTGCAAAGCATGCTTCAATGCTGCAATGTTTTGTACTGTGAAAAATAAAAACAAATAATAGAACACAATTTTCCATTACTATTTTGTTGACATAAGAACTATATTTTATGGAGGGTTTTTTGAGACATTTTTAATAAATTCATTATTTGTTATTCCTGATCAGTAATCACTAAAATCTAAAACAGTAATCTGAAAATGTGTAGGGTTTTTTGTTGTTGTTGAAAACAGTACAGTGTTTGTTAATTCCTTAATACAGATGGTGTTCTGTCCTCATTAAACCACTCATGTCCTGTAGTTGCAATAGAATCGATCTCAACATCTATCTACAAGAAACAGAATTATGAGCTGTCACACCTATCTTCTCAAGAAGGTATGTGAGCTGTGCTCAAACAGATCAATAAATGTGATACAATCTTTAAAAATCTGTCATACTAGACATTTTACAAGGTTCCTGACCCCTAGCCATATTCTAGTTCATAACTGCATTCTGCATTCTTTATAAAGTCTCCTGTATTTCTATTTGGATAAAACATTATTCATCATTTTCTATCCTAAACTACTGTGCATTGTTAGTGTATACTCTTTTACCACAAATACGAGTACATTTTTGTCATGCTCCTTTTGTACTCCTGGGGGAATTCCACACCAAAAATCCGAAATTGTGCACCAAAAAAAAAAGCTAAATTTTGCATATTTTGTCAAAACAATGCATTATAATGACCCCAGTTGCACTTTGTTTGTAATTTATTTAAATTACCATACAGAAAAAATACAACAACTGTTCAGCATTTCCTAAATACATGAATGTTAAGTTTCAAATACAGTAAAACTCCAATAGTCCGGCATCCAATAGTCCGGCACTCCTGATAGTCTGGCATCAAAATGGCAAGAGCCTAGTGAGTGAGTTTCAGCAAAAAATGAGTTACAAGGTAACAGCGGCAGCAGCTGAACAGAGCAAAAAGGGTAAAAAAGGCTTAAAAAAACTAAAACATTACAGTATACTGTATACAGTATGTACAATAAAAAGGGTTAAGAACACTTTATATATAGTATTTAATGTATACAGTATATATATATAACCAGTTTATAGTACCTCCTGATAGTCCGGCATATCTGATAATCCGGCACCACCTAGGTCCCATAGGTTCCGGATTATCGGAAGTCTACTGTACTTGGTAACCAAGACGCTACATTCAAGTTATGATCCTGGATTTTGATTTAAATTATATTACTTTTAGTTTTGTGTTTAGAGTTCTATAAAGTAGAATGTTGTTTGAAGTTGCTTGGACTTTCATACAGGAAAATGCCACTTAAAGAGAGAAAGAATGCGTTTCCCAATACAGCCTTACCTGAGAGCCAGCTGGCTTTATAGCTCAAGCTGTAGAGCAGTGCTTCTTAAAGTAGTCCATGAAACCACTCTGAGAAACACTGCTAACTGGCCGCTCTGGTGTGTTTGTTTACCTGCTCTGCAGCCATGGAGTCTTGTGACTTCCAATGGCTCCCATGCCATTTGCAGCTAAGAAGAGCCCATGCTGTTTCCTGCAGCTCCCCTTGGCTGCAAATGGTGAACTGGAGCCAATGGGAGCCACGAGGCTCCGTGGCTGCGGAGACAGTAAATACACACACCAGAATGGCCAGTTAGTAGGTTTCTCAGAGTGGTTTTGTGGACCGCTTTCAGATACACGGCTGTAGAAGCTCATGCACTAAGGTCCAAAAATTGCAAATGAAGCCGGGATTTAAATATCTCATGCTTCATTTGCATATTTGTGTTATGGCGCTATTTCGAAATAACACGCTGTTAAGACGCAGTTATTTCAAGAGAAAACCCTTCTCTCGAAATAACCCTTATTCCTCATACAATGAGGTTTACCAGTTATTTCGAGAGAAGGGTTTTCTCTTGAAATAACTGTGTCTTAACAGCGTCCGTTATTTCGAAATAGTGCCGTAATGTGAATATGCAAATGAAGCACGGGATATTTAAATCCCAGCTTCATTTGAAATTTCAAATGTCTTCATTTGCATCTCTCTCTTGAAAGAGGGTGCAAGTTTAGACATACCTGGAAGAGTGAGACTTTCTCACTCATTTGCATGCAGGTAAGTGCCCAGTCCCACCCTCTTAATGTTTCTCTACAGACACAGGCACACATGTGCTGCCTTTTTCCCCCCTCACAGTGGTCTACTCTCTATTGCCAGTTGTTCCCAGCAGATGTGCCTGAGCTGATGCAGAAGGGTCTTATGTTCGCCACAGATTTCTTTGCTCCCCCACTTTCCTGTGTGGGAGCCAAGATATTTATGTACAATATGAATTCTGCACCACATGCAGGGCACAGAATTCCCCCAGGAGTACATACGCACCTGGCAGTATTGTATCTTCCCCTGTAAAATGCACCAAAGGGGAAAGATGGCCTAAGAAACTCCATAAGGTGAACCTTATGAAATTTCCGCCAAATAGATTGAGAACTGGATTGAGAAGTGGTTAAAAGACAGGAAACAAAGGGTAGGAATAAATGGTAAATTTTCAGAATGGGTAACTAGTGGTGTCCCCCAAGGGTTAGTCCTGGGACCAATCCTTTTCAACTTATTCATAAATGATCTAGAGAAAGGGGCAAGCAGTGAGGTAGTAAAGTTTGCGGATGATACTAAACTGTTCAAGATAGTCAACATAGAAGCAGACTGTGAAGAACTTCAAAAGGATCTCACAAAACTAAGTGATTGGGCAACGAAATGGCGAATGAAGTATAATGTGGAAAATTGTAAAGTACTGCACGTTGGAAAAAATAACCCCAACTATACATATAGTATGATGGGGGCTAATTTGGCTACGACAAATCAGGAAAGAGATCTTGGAGTTATCGTGGATAGTTCTCTGAAAACGTCCACACGGTGTGCTGCGGCAGTCAAAAAGGCAAATAGAATGTTAGGAATTATTAAGAAGGGATAGAATATAAGACACAGAATATCTTACTGCCTCTGTATAAAACTATGGTACGCTCACATCTTGAATACTGTGTACAGATGTGGTCTCCTCACCTCAAAAAAGATATTTTGGCCTTGGAAAGGGTTCAGAAAAGGGCAATTAAATGATTAGGGGTTTGGAACAGGTCCCATATGAAGAGAGGCTAAAGCGACTGGGACTTTTCAGTTTGGAAAAGAGGAGACTGAGGGGGGTATATATGATAGAGGTATATAAAATCATGAGTGGTGTGGAGAGGGTGAATAAAGAAAAGTTATTCATTAGTTCCCATAATATAAGGACTAGACGACACCAAATGAAATTAATTGGTCGCAGGTTTAAAACTAATAAGTGAAAGTTCTTCTTCACACAGCGCATAATCAACCTGTGGAACTCCTTGCCAGAGGAGGCTGTGAAAGCTAGAACTATAACAGAGTTTAAAGAGAAGCTAGATAAATTCATGGAGTTTAGGTCCATAAAAGGCTATTAGCCAGGGGGTAGTAATGGTGTCCCTGGTCTCTGTTTGTCAGAGGCTGGAGATGGATGGCAGGAGACAGATCGCTTGATCATTGTCTTCAGTCCGCCCTGGCGCTGGCCACTGTCAGCAGACAGGCTACTGGGCTAGATGGACCTTTGGTCTGACCCAGTATGGCCATTCTTATGTTCTTATGTTCTAAATATTCTCCCTCAGGTAAGAGGTAAGACCATCTGAATCTATGGAAAGGTTTGTTTCTGATAACACCCATAATGTGCCTGGCACCTCTTTCTGTACCCTCTCCCTATATTGCTTGATGACTCACCTCCTCATAGAAATACTGTTATCTCAGGAAACATCAAAACAAGTTTTGATGCTGTGCCAAACTTTAAAAACTAAGGGACCAGAGAAGAGCATGCTGCACACTCCATCTGTTATCTAATTTTGCCTGTTTCCATTTCTTTTTCTGCCTCCAAATCTCTTGCAAAACCCAAATATGTAGAGAGGTGCAGAAGGGTAACCGTGGACTTTTTGGTGGAAGAGAGATTATCCAATTTGGAATTAGGGAACTTTCCTTTCTGTTATGCAGCACACAGGAGAGCTAAAGAGAGCCCAGAAAACCCATTGTTAATATAGCAGTCTGGTAAATATTTAAACTCTTTGGTATTGTTCAGGATAAAGGTACTATGTAATAAAGTTATTATTAGTACTGTATTATTATACTTTCCCCCCATAGAAATGTCAGGCCTGTCATTTCAAATAGCTTCCATGGATGAAAATGGGACTCTGAATTTGTGGGTGAGTAAATGCATGAAAAGTAGTAATATTGCACTTTTGAAATAATGTTTTTCTACAAAAATTACGCATCCTTCAAATTTCCAAGATTTCAGGTAAGAGTTTCTTTAGAAAACTGGCAACATATGCCATTTATTGGCAATTTCCCAGAAACGCCTTGACTTGCTTCCATGCCACATAGTTCCAATAAGGCAGAGCTCTTGATAAGTATATGATTTATGTGGTCAAATCAATTAGCAATGCTTCCTTATGTGGACCTTGCTCACATTTATCTGTTTCTTGGGAAATCTCTGTTGATCCTCATTTGCTTACTCACTTCAGATTAGATTGCTATGTGTATGATAGTCAGTCATTGAAACTGAGGTGGGAAGCCATACATAACATGTATTTGAAGTCTCTTCAGTCTTTTTAAAGATATTTTTCATGTGAAATTTAGCCACAATACGGTAATGTATTGATTACCTAGTTGGAAACTATTATAGTCAGGTTAGTAACCCTGCTTTGTGGATAATACCTATATATTTTTCTACTTTCTAATTAATATACTGAAGGCTTTTTATGACTATTATGGGACTGGTTTTGTTCAACATCTTTATTAATGACCTGGATGAGGGGATGGATTGCACCCTCAGCAAGTTTGCGGATGACACTAGGCTAGGGGGAGAGGTAGATATGCTAGAGGGCAGAGTCCAGAGTGACTTAGACAAATTGGAGGATTGGGCCACAAGAAATCTGATGAGGTTCAACAAGGACAAGTGTAGAGTCCTGCACTTGGGACAGAAGAATCCCAAGCATTGTTACAGGCTGGGAACCAACTGGCTAAGTAGCAGTTCTGAAGAAAAGGACCTGGGGATTACAGTGGACGAGAAGCTGGATACGAGTCAATAGTGTGCCCTTGTAGCCAAGAAGGTTAATGGCATATTAGGTTGCATTAAGAGGAGCATTGCCAGTAGATCCAGAGATGTGATTATTCCTCTTTATTTGGCTCTGGTGAGGCCACATCTGGAGTATTGTATCCAGTTCTGGGCCCCCAATTACAGGAAGGATGTGGATACATTGGAGAGGGTCCAGCAGAGGGCTACCAAAATGATTAGGGGGCTGGAGCATATGGCCTATGAGGAGAGGCTGAGGGAGTTGGGTTTATTTAGTCTGCAGAAGAAAAGAGCGAGGGGGGATTTGATATCAGCCTTCAACTTCCTTAAGGGAGGTTCCAAACAGGCTGGAGAAAGGCTGTTCACCGTAGTGATGGATGGCAGAACAAGGAACAATGGTCTCAAGTTGCGGTGGGAGAGGTCCAGGTTGGATATTAGGAAAAACTATTTCACTAGGAGGGGGGTGAAGCACTGGAATGGGTTACCTAGGGAAGTAGTGAAGTCTCCATCCCTAGAGGTGTTTAAGACTCGGCTTGACAAAGCCCTGGCTGGGTTGATTTAATTGGGATTGGTCCTTCCTTGGGCAGGCGGCTGGACTTGATGACCTCCTGAGGTCTCTTCCAGCTCTATGGTTCTATGATTTTTATGATTGATTCTGATAAACTAGAAATATTTCTACTTTATCCTGTGTATCAGCCTTATCCCAATATTACTAGTTCCTATTACTGTAATCAGATTAATCCACTGGTTACTCAAAAATAATAAGGGGATATATAGCTTTTCATTTTATATGACCAGTTCAGACACAGCACAGCTCCTACTAATTTCATGGGGAACAGCACTGGAGCCAACAGGAGAAAAAATATAATTATCTGCTACATACAGTTTACCTTGGGCAGCGCATATGGGATTGGAGATAGGATAAAGGCAATCCCTGAATCTCTGTCCACACACCAACTAATGGCTAAAGCATCCCAAGGAGTGCTCTAACTTGTTCAAACTGATGCCTGTACCTATCTATCAGCTGGGGGATTGTTGGAACATATCAAATTCCAGCTATGCTTCCTTCTTGTCCTGACATGTTCCCTATGCCCTATATAATTTAGTTCTATATATACTTATATATTTTTTCCTCTTGTTGTTTTTCCTTTTGTGGATGAATAGTATAGATACTGGCTCTGGTAGTTTTCTACCCACTTATGACTGCCTCACACCAGGGAATTATCAGCTGGGGACTTGAAGCCTGTCTTTTACCCTCAATTTTTCTGACTGAGCAATGCAAAAGGAGCAGTGTAGGGTGGAAAATCTTCACAGTCATAGTGTAAGGCTCATTTCTGGTACAGTTACTGTTACACAGCCTGCAGTGACTCAGGTTCATGAATGCCAGCTTAAGTGCAGACTACTGAAACTCAAGACACAGACCCCAAATTGATTGAGTTCTAATTCTATTAGATTTCACCAACTAATTGTCAGATATCAACTCCTGAGGCTTTATAACAGTGTTAACATAGCATCACAGACAATTCTTCGGGTACTCTGATCTGTTTCACGAAATGGGTGAGCTTATCTTTGTGATAGATGATCCCTTCTACCAGTCACTTTCCTTGAATCAAGTGCATCTTACATCTCAGACCAAAGACAATGTTATTACCAATCTTATAAAGAACTATATAAATGTCCTGCATTTTGCTTCAACTACCCCAGGCTAACACGGCTACATTTCTATCACTTTTTAAACTTAAGATTGTAACTGATATGTACATATATTTACCTGTTTTAATCTTGTAAATAACTCTCTTTTCCTTTTCCTACTTAATAGAACTATATAAATATTAAGTCTGAGCATTTTAGGCCTGGCTGGACTAGAGAAGGGGGCACCAGGGGAGTTGCCGCTGAAGGCGCGCGGCCGCGCACAAACACCCCTCTGCCGCCCACCTCCCTTGCGGAGCCTTGCAGCGGCACTCGCCTTCCTGCTGGCCGGGGAATGGCGCGGTTGTTTTCCTGATCTGGTGGGGGGCGGCTGCCCCGTTGTGTCCCTGCTGGGGCAGCCTCGCCCCACCTCCAGCTGCGATTGGGGCTTCTGTTTGTTTCTGTTCATACAGTTTGCTGCAGTTTTCCATCCCGGAGGACCTGCGTGAAGGTGGTCCGACCAGAGATACGGGGATCGATTTTTAAGAGTAAGAGGTTTTGTTTTTAAAGCAGGGGTGAGGAACCTAATACCCCAGCTCACGTGAGTGTGGCCCTCGAGACTCAAGGTTCCCACACTAACGCTCTAGCTCCCCTCCAGATTGGTGATAGAAATGTAGCCGTGTTAGTCTGGGGTAGTTGAAGCAAAATGCAGGACAATGTAGCACTTTAAAGACTAACAAGATGGTTTATTAGATGATGAGCTTTCGTGGGCCAGACCCACTTCCTCAGATCAAATAGTGGAAGAAAGTAGTCACAACCATATATACACCAAAGGATACAATTAAAAAAAAGTGAACAAAACGTGATTTGTCCTTTTCATATTTGTTCACTTTTTTTTTAATTGTATCCTTTGGTATATATGGTTGTGACTATTTTCTTCCACTATTTGATCTGAGGAAGTGGGTCTGGCCCACGAAAGCTCATCATCTAATAAACCATCTTGTTAGTCTTTAAAGTACTACATAGTCCTGTATTTTGTTTCAAGTTTAAAACGGTAATGGAAATGTCTATATCAGCAAGCTCTGTAGGTCCATTAGAGTTAACCCAAGCTAAGCAGCTGGAGGTCTCTTGCGTATCCTTAGAAACATGTTGCTCCCCAGAGTTCAAACAGCATAGAGATCCCTTATTCCTTTTATTTGGGGTTTTTAATCTCCCTCCTTCCAAGTGCTCCAGGCTACAAACTTAAGATCTCTGGAGGAATCAATTTTCATGACTCATCTTATGGGGAAGGGGAGAGAGCAGAACAACAAACATCTTTTGTCCTTTTTAACATCTCACAATAGTCTTTTTGGTATTGGTGGACCTTTCCTGTTGGGAATGTTGAAATACTATCTGTTGAAAAACAGCCCTTCACATTAATTAATGTCTCTTCCTTGTCTGGTGATTTACACAGTTACAGAGGCTCACAATATAACCACTCAACTATTACCTTACAATATGGAGATAAATGCAGATAGCAATTAATTAAAGTCTAAACACGTCCTTCTAGTTCTGATACCTACACTAATTCACAGGTGAGCCAGACTGATTCCAGCTATACATTTGACAGTGTTCAGTTGAGACATGGGTACTTTCGCAAGAGCTGGCACTAAGTCTACCAGCCTCATGGATGCTCACATAGAGCAATGACAGGAAGGCTAGAAATACCTATGAGAGTGTAGGTTTTGTTTGTATTTAATATTTGCTCATTTTCAATCATTTGAACCTTTTTTAGGTAGCAGTTGAATTACAAAAAGTGGATTTGGCTGGTTCACAGAGTGATTTAGGTAAGTACTGTACATGAGAGGAACAATTGGTAAGGCAATCTGTTTTTACATAGAAGAGAGAAAGAGGTCATTGAGAGGGCATAATAAAACTATGCTTTTATATATATGCAATAAAATGTTGATCAAATTTTTAGTTTCATAATCTCCTGTGTCCCTGCAGAACTGCATAATTTGCTGAATTTGGATATTTTGTGTAAATATTGATGTGTGGAGTTTTAAAGCTATTGAGTTTCTATCAAACTCCATTGGATCAGCTCAGCATACTGCCCCTAGCATTTATTTTTCTCCTTCAGACTCTACCTTTATAGTATGAAATTTTCAGTTGCCACTTCAGTTCTCTGTTAAAATTAATATAATATGAAAGCATTATTCTTGGTAGTATTATTATATCTTTACTATCTATTTTATTACCTGTGGTCATAATTATATAAATCAGAAGCGGGGAACCTTTTTTGGGTTAGGGGGCCACACACACGTAAGAAGCAAAGAAACCAAAGTAAAACAAAAAACACCTCACGCACCAGAGGTTTGCAGGCTAGTAGATTCTGTGTCCCATGGGAAAGGCAGAGGGGACAGTGGAGGTACTGGAGCACCAGTGTGGTCTGAGCCTCAGGAGCCAGATCCAAACAAGCTGGGGGCTGCATCCAGCCCCTGGGCCTTAGGTTCCCTACTCCTGATATAAATGTATCATTTCCGTCATTTCTCTTTCTGTAGTGATAGTATGATGTAATAATGCATATTAACAGAAAGAGAATACCCGTAGAACTGATACACGTTGTAATTCAGTAGAAGTTCTAGAGATTATAATTTTAGAATTAAAATGACCATTTTTCTCTTTTCCCTTATCCCTCCCAATTCCAACAAATATTACAACATTTGAATCCTGGAGACAATAACACATTTCAGCTTGTCTCATCTTTAAGGACAGCGCTTTAACTGTAAACTTCCTTGTGTTTATTAATTGAGATCTTAATTCTATTTTAACTTAGTTATTTTAATACTGTCTATAATGATATATGATTTTTGATATTTTATTGAAATTTTAGGCTCTTGATTTAAAGAATAATTATTTATCATTTCAGGTTTAATTCCTGGGGGGAAAGTAAAATTAGTACATAGCTCTACTCTTCAGTTGAATAACAGGTAAGAAAACAGTGTTTAATCATTAAATTGTGTATTTATAACTCAGTAAGGCTGTGTCCAGACTCAGGGGTTTTTTCGAAAAAAGTAGCCTTTTTTCGAAAAAACTTCACCTGCGTCTAGACTGCAGCCGCGTTCTTTCGAAATTAAATCGAAAGAACGCGGCTTTTCTTTCGACGGCGGTAAACCTCATTGCACGAGGAAGAACGCCTTCTTTCGAAAGTTCCTCTTTCGAAAGAAGGTGTTCTTGAATGTAAATAGGGCTTCTTTGAAAGAGAGCATCCAGACTCACTGGGTGCTTTCTTTCGAAAAAGCAAGCCGCTTTTTCGAAAGTTCCGCGTGCAGTCTAGACGCTCTCTTTCGAAAGAGGCTTGCAATCTAGACATAGCCTAAGGGTGTGCCTATCCTGCACCATTATTTCAAGATAACTTTCATTATTTCGAAATAACAATGCAAGCATCTACACAGCCATTCCATTATTTTGAATTAATTTCGAAATAACAGTCGGTTTACTCCGAAATCTGTAAACCTCATTCTACGAGGTATAACACCTATTCCAAAATAGCTATTTCAAAATAAAGTGTGTGTAGAGGCTCCACAACTGCTATTTTGAAATAGCCCCTCACCAGGGCCATTCTGAGTTATTCCTCTCCACTGCCTCCGGGGAGCTCTTAATCAAGATAACATGTCTACATTAGGGAAGCCTGCCTCAGACTATTTTTGAGGCTTCCCTGCAGTGTAGATGTGCTATTTTAGATGTGCTATTTTTAAATAAATTATTTTGGAATAACCATTTGGAAATACAGTAATTCCTTATTTAACACTATAGATATGTTTCAGAAAATGTTTGTGTTAAGTGAAAACATGTTATGCGGGGTCAATTTTCCCATTGAAAATAATGGAAAAGGTGGGGGTTGTGTTTCAAGCAGTGGTGTCTGTTGGGACTGGGACATAAGATTGGGAGAAAGAGGACTGGGTTACAGCAGGGAGGGGAGGTGTTTGGCTCTGGGGAAGTGAAGGGGAGGAGAGGGAAGGGGGATTGGGTTGGGAGTATGCTCCTGTGACGGGTCTGCTGGGACCCACATTGAGTTCGGCGAGGGGGGGGTCACTGGGGAATGGCGCGGCAAGCAGCAAACCCTCCGCTGCTTTGCAGGGAGGCGGGTGAAGCCCCACGCAGCCACCGGCAACGGGCCAGCTGGGGGAATCATGTTATTCCTGGGACAGTCATGTAATTCAAAAAACGTTTCCTAAAAAAACAATCGTGAAAACGTGTTAAGCGGGCACGTGTTCAATAAGGAATTACTGTAGCTTATTTGAAAATAAGTGAGCAGTGTAGACATACCCAAAGTTAATTATCCCATGGAACTGGTCACATTATTGTTATCTAATACATCTAATAAATATTGATCAGGATTTTCAATAGTTCATTACTGTTGAAAATATACATTTTTGTCAAAGATGTCCATTAATGGTTCAAATTATGGGAGACTTTCCTGTTTAAAATATTTCCATTCTTCTTCGAGTGATTGCTCATGTGCATTTCAATTAGGTGTGTGCGCGCAGCGTGCACATGTTGTCGGAAGTTTTCCCTTCAGCAGTACCCTTAGGGACAGTGGGGAGCCTCCTGGAGTGGCGCTGGTATATCGGCCCATATATACCCCTGCTGGCCCCCTCACCTACTCAGTTCCTTCTTACCGCCGTGACGGTCGTTGGAACAGCCCTCAGCGCTTCTAGCGATAGCTGTATTCAGTATTCTTCTCTGTTTCTCCAGTTAGCTTAAGTACCTGCAGTTAAATTAAAGACTCTTTTGTTGTTCTTTGTTGTTTTCGTTGCTGTTCCCCGCCGCGGCGCGCCGTACACCCAGCCCACAAGGCTTTCAGTCCTGCAAAAAGTGCCACAAGCCTGTGCCTCGAGGTGACCCTCATTCCTCATGTTCAAAGTGCTTGGGAGAGACACACCTCGCTGAAGCCTGCAAAATCTGCAAGGCATTCAAGCCACGAACGAAACACACGAGAGAGTCGCGTCTTAAGATCATACTTATGGAGATGACTCTCTGGCCTGTACTGGCGCTGGAGTTGGCACCGGGTCCTCAAAGCGCACCGGCGTTGATGCGGGACTCCTCCCTGCACTGTGCCTCACCAGCACCGCAGAGACCTCGACAGCAGTCTCAGTCTCCAGCACCACAGAAGAGGAGGAGGCCTAACGGGATGGTCCTTCAGTGGGGCATGCGGCACCGGCAAGTCCAGAGCCCAGGCCTTCCAGGTCAGGCGGACCTTACTCCCAGCGTAGTGGGCAGAGCCCTTTGGAAGACTTTCCTGAACTACACTGGAGGCCTTAGAAGCAGCAAGGGTGCTCATAGACTCTTCCCCCTCGCCACCCCCTACTCCAACGCCTTCCAGGCAACACGTGACATTCCAGCACTGGGTATCGAAACAGCCCGAAACCAAGGCACTGGAAGCCTGGACCCACTGCCCTCCTCTCCTGGCTCCACCGGTACCACCCACGGCACCGACCAGTGGTGCATCCTTACCTGCAGTGCCACATCAGGACATGGCACCGGATACACTGCGGTACCATGCACCGGCTCACACCGTTCCAGCACCTACCTCTGCACCGGATGCCAGCACCACTATGCCACCACCGCCACCTCGGTACTTGGGGAAGCCGGAATCTATGGCCAGGCATGTAGCTGCTCCCAGAGCCAGCCTGAGCCATTTTGATGCCCAGGGCGCGCGGCGCCGCCCGTGGGCACACAGTACATGCGCGGGCCAGCCCCTCGGGGGCACAATGCATGTGCTGCCCAGCCGTGCAGGGCCTCGTGACCATGGGGGGAAGGGCGCTGTTGGCCGGCGCCACGGGGATGGGGGAGCCGCCCCACCACTATGCCACCACCGCTGCCTCGGCACTAGAATCTATGGCCAGGCATGTAGCTGCTCTGCAGGTGTCTGCGTCGGCTCCTCCTTGGTCCGCCTTGGACTACATGTCTGCCTCCGAGGTGGAATCCACCTGGTCTTCTCGGGGCTCCCACTCCCGTTCACAGCACCTCTCCCGACACAATAGTCTGCCTTGTCCATACCAGCAGCAATGGACACAACCAGTCCATTGCTCCGGCAGTCATGGCCTCCTCAACCTCCAGCCCAGTGGCCATTTTGGACTCCTTAGCCATATCACCAAGCCCAGGGAAACCCCCCTTCCAGGTCGGCTTCGGTCGCATCGGGTCCTCAGGCCCCTCCTTTGGAAACCCCACTGGTCAGTACGCCAGCGTCTGGCCAGTCACTGCCTCCCAGCCAGCAGTCTCCTGGTCCTTTGGGGAGTGTGGCTCTGGTGAGCCAACCTCCCCCACCCTCGTCTGCTGCACGCAGCAGGATCCGGCACTTTCGGGGTTATCTGTCGGGGAAATCCGAAGGGGATCATCGTCCTCCTCCCCTGACAAGGTTCTGGGAGACCCTGGACCGTCCATGGCCTCTATGGACACCAGAGCCCATCAGGACCTCCTCCGATGTCTGGCCCAAAGTTTGGGAGTCCAGACAGATAGGGTGTCCAATGACACCGATCCCACGGGGGACATCCTTCACACAGATGCCCTCTCTAGAGTGGCCCTCCCGATTAACAAAACAGTGGCCAAGATTTCCAAAGCCTTGTGGCAGACTCCCGTGTCCATCCCTCCTGTGGATAAGCGGACGGAACGAAGATACTTTGTCCCCCAGGAGGGTAATGAGCATCTTTTTTCCTACCTCCCCAGCGGGCTCTCTCATGGTACAAGCCGTGAATCAGAGAGACAAGGTCAGCCTGCTGTTGTCCCTAAGAGCAGAGAAGCTATGAAAACTGACCTGCTAGGCTGGAAGGTCTGCGCATCCGGTGGTATCCAGTACTGCATTGCAAACCAACACGTCCTCTTGTCCTGGTATGCATTTAACACCTGGGCCTTGATGGACAAATTCACGGACCTACTCCCCCAAGAGTCCCGCGCAGAATTCAAAGCTCTCCATGAGGAGGGGAGAACGATTTCTAGGGCGGCTCTCCATGCAGCTCTAGATGTGGCTGACTCTGCTGCCCGATTAATGGTCTCTGGGGTGGTCTTACGCCGCAGTTCCTGGCTACAGGTTTCTGGGGTTCCTCTAGAGCCGTGGTCACCAACAGGTTGATCGCGAGGCCTCGACCAATCGATTGCGAGGCATCCTGTCCGCCCCGCCCCCATTTCTCTCCCACCCCTGAGAAACCCCACTACTTACCTCAAGTGAAAATGGAGGTAGTGTCGGCTTCTCGGGGATGGACAGAAGTCCCACAGCTTAGCTCCACTTCCGGCGATTCCGGAAGTGCACTAGCTGCTCTGCTGGGTGTACTGCGGGAGGTAGCACTGGCTCCCTGCACCGCACAGGAGAGGTGAGTCAGCCCCGGGGGAGGCGCGCAGGGGGCTTCCCGGCACAGGTCAGCCCCCGGGGCAGGCACGCGCAGGGTTTTCCTACGCCGGGGGGTTGGCCCCCGGGCAGGTGCATGCTGGGGGCGGTGGAATCCTGGGAGGAGGCAAATACAGGGGACTCTCTGCCTCCTCTGGCACCCCACTCCCTAGTGCCCACTCCCCAGCCACAGAATTCTGTCCCCACTCTCCTGTCCCCAGCTACAGAACTGTCCCCACTGCCCTCCCCACTCCCCGAACGCTGTCCCCACTGCCCTGTCCCCAGCCACAGAACTCTGTCCCCACTCTCCTGTGTCCCCAGCTACAGAACTCTGTCCCCACTCCCGTCCCCAGCTACAGAACTCTGTCCCCACTCCTCTGTCCCCAGCCACAGAATTCTGTCCCCTGTCCCCAGCTACAGAATGCTGTCCCTATTCCCGTCCCCACTCCCCGAACTCTGTCCCCACTCCCCTGTCCCCAGCCACAGAACTCTGTCCCCACTCCTCTGTCCCCAGCCACAGAATTCTGTCCCCTGTCCCCAGCTACAGAATGCTGTCCCTATTCCCGTCCCCACTCCCCGAACTCTGTCCCCACTCCCCTGTCCCCAGCCACAGAACTCTGTCCCCACTCCTCTGTCCCCAGCCACAGAATTCTGTCCCCTGTCCCCAGCTACAGAATGCTGTCCCTATTCCCGTCCCCACTCTCCGAACTCTGTCCCCACTGGCACTCTGTCCCCTGCTGCAGAACCGTGTCCTCTGCCCTCCCAGCACCCTGTTCCCTCTTCCCTGCCCCCAGCCGCAAAACTCTGTCCCCACAAAATGTATAATTATAAATGCTTTATTTTATATTTAAATAGCATGAATAAAAAACAGACCATTTACTTCATAACTATAGAGACGTTATTTTAATTTTATATATCCCATAATTTAAAAATAAACTGTTTATCAGAGTGTGTAAGTAAGGGCTGGGGATAGCAAGTGATGGGACAGGAGGAGAATAGAGAGGGCAGGGCTTCAAGGAAGGGGCGGGGCGGTAAATCTTCGCCTGTTCTGAGATTTAAAAAGTGATGTTGGGTGTAAAAATATTGGAGACCACTGCTCTAGAGCTCCAGAACACCATACAAGACCTCCCTTTTGAAGGCCCCTTGCTCTTTTCTGAGGAAACTGATCAGAGGCTCCATGGTCTGAAAGACACCGACCTAAAATCATTGGGCATGCACACCCCCGCCACCCTGAGGTGCCCCTTCCCCATTAGGAATGTTCCTAGAACACCTCCCTAGAGTCCGTGTACTGACTTCTCCCATCGTAGGAGCCTCCCGCCGTAGGACTAGAAGCAGGAACAACAGGTGTTGCCCTCGCCCTACCCCTGATCACAACCAGGAGCCCCCCAACAAACCCTCCGGTCCCCATCAGGGGTTTTGACGGGACCTACGAGGGCAACCTTCCAGTCTCCCCATTTCTCTTCCAGGACTGTTTATCCCACTTTACCCCAGCCTGGCGGTTGGTCAATTCGGACCACTGGGTGCTTGAGATAGTGGAAAGGGGTTTTGTAATCCCTTTCCACTCCCCTCTCCCTTCCCGACCCCCTACCCCGTCCCTTTTTAGGGACCCATCTCACAAGCCTCTGCTTCAAGAGGAGGTCCAACATCTCCTTAGGATAGGGACGATAGAACACGTTCCCCCTGAGTTTCGGGGGAGGGGGTTCTATTCCCACTACTTTCTGGTCCCAAAAGCCAAATGGGGCCTGCGTCCTATTCTGGACCTAAGAGCCCTCAACTCCTTCATTGCCAAAGCAAAGTTCAAAATGGTAACATTGGTGTCCATAATTCCCTCACTAGCCCCCAGAAACTGGTACGCTGCCCTTGACGTAAAAGATGCTTACTTTCACATTTCCATTGCCCCCCACCACCCCAAATTCCTCAGATTTACTGTGGGCCCGGACCACTACCAATTCACAGCCCTCCCATTTGGTATTTCCATGGCCCCTTGTGTCTTCATCAAGTGTATGGCAGTGGTAGTCACTGCACTCAGAAAAAGGGGTATCCAGGTGTTCCCCTATATAGATGACTGGCTCCTGAGGGGAAGCTCGGAGTCACAGGTGCGAACGCACATCACCGTAGTGCATGCACTCCTTGACAATCTAGGTCTTTTGTTAAACCTGGTCAAGTCATCCCTAATTCCCACTTTGATAATAGAGTTCATGGGAGCCACCCTGGACTCTACCTCGGCGAGAGCCTCCCTACCCAAGTCCTGGTTTCTCGCGATACAGGCGGTGGTCAGGGAGCTCAAGAACTTTCCAATGATCACCGCTCAGACTTGCATGCGCCTCCTCGGTCTCAAGGCCACCTGCACTTATGTAGTGCAATACGCCAAGCTGCGCATGCGCCCGCTACAGATGTGGCTTTCGCGAGCCCACAACTCAGTCATCCATTCATGGGACAGGGTGGTGATGGTCCTCGCTTCCATCCTCCTCGCGCTGAACTGGTGGACCAGCCAGGAAGAGGTCTCACAGAGGTACCATTTTCCAGGCAGGTACTGTCCACCCGACACGTCACGGACGTGTCAGACACCAGCTGGGGAGCCCACCTGGGAGACCTTTAAAGCATTGGTCTGCGGATGAGATCTCCCTGCATATCAACATCAGGGAGCTCCGGGTAGTCCGATTAGCTTGTGCAGTTTTCCTTCCCACCTGATGGCTTCGTACCTCCCAGGCTCCCAAAACGTCCTGGCAGACAAACTAGGCAGGTCATTTGCAGGTTATGAATGGTATCTGAGGTGGGATGTAGCCCAATCTATCTTCCGTGCCTGGGGGTCTCCCCATCTGGACCTCTTCACCACAGGGCAGAACAGGAAGTGCCACCAATTCTGCTCCCACATGGAACAGGGACAGGGCTCATTGGGAGATGCCCTCCTTCTCCCCTGGCCGCAGGGCTTACTATACACCTTCCCACCATTCCCGCTAATCCACAAGGTCTTAGGGTGCGGGAGTTCAGGGTGTCCTGGATTTTAATTGTCCCGGCCTGGCGAGGGTTGAGAACCAGTGCCGCTCCCAGACCTAATTACTCAGGACTCAGGCAGGCTCCACGACCTGGACCTGCACTCGCTGCATTTGACAGTGTGGAAGCTCCGTGGCTAATGGCCGAGGAACTTCAGTGCTCAGAACAGGTCCAGGAAGTCCTACTGGGTAGCAGGAAGCCCTCCACTAGGACCACATACCTGGCTAAGTGGAAACGGTTTTATATCTGGGCTGCCCAGAAGGGGTACATCCAAGGTGAGCTGTGATCTCCTTGATCCTGGATTACCTGTTAGACCTCAGGCTCCAGGATCTCTCTTCCTCCTCCATGAAGGTTCACTTGGTGGCCACCTGGGGGACAGGGGGAAATCTCTGTTTGCTAACCCAGTCGTCAGCAGGTTTCTGAAAGGTTTGGACAGGCTCTACCCACACGTCTGCCAGCCCGTCCCCCAGTGGGACCTATACCTGGTCCTTTCCAAACTTATGGGACCCCTGTTCAAACCTTTACCAACGTGTTCCCTTCTATACTTGTCTTATAAGGTGTCTCTCCTGGTGGCAAACACATCTGCCAGACAGGTATCCAAACTCAGGATGCTCACCTCAGATCCTCCCTACACAGTGTTTTTCAAAGACAAGGTTAGGCTCCGCCCTCACCCAGCTTTTCTGCCCAAGGTGGTGTCTTCTTTCCACACCTCCCAAGATATTTTCCTGCTGGTATTTTACCCCAAGCCGCATGCGTCTGGGAAAGAACAGGCTTTACACACTCTAGATGTTCACAGGGCTTTAGCTTTTTACTTAGACAGGACAAAACCATTCAGAAAGTCGCTGCAACTCTTTGTGGCCATAGCCGAACGGGTGAGGGGTCAACCCGTGTTCTCCCAGCGGATTTCCTCCTGGATAACCGCTTGTATCAAGGAGTGCTATGCCCTAGCAGGGGTACCAGCCCCACCCTCTAGAGCGCACTCCACGAGAGCTGTGGCAGCCTCCACTGCTTTCATGGCGCAGGTTCTCATGCTGGACACCTGCAGACCCGCAACATAGTCCTCTGTCCATACCATTGCCAATCACTATGCGGTAACTCATCAAGCCAGGGAAGACTCTGTCCTGGGCAGGGCGGTCCTCCACTCCTCTGTAGCTTCAACATCCGGCCCTCCTCCATAGGTTCTGCTTTAGAGTCACCTAATTGGAATGCACATGAGCAATCACTCGAAGAAGAAAGAACAGTTACTTACCTTGTAATTGTGATTCTTTGAGATGTGTTGCTCATGTCCATTCCAAATCCCCGCCCGCCACCCTTTCTCCAGAGTATTCTGGTAGGAAAGAACTGAGTGGGTGAGGGGGCCAGCAGGGGTATATATGGGCCGATATACCGACTCAACTCCAGGGGGCTCCCCGCTGGTACAAAGGGTACTTGTGAGGGAAAAACTTCTGATGACGCGTACACGCTGCCACCTAATTGGAATGGACATGAGCAACACATCTCAAAGAATCACAGTACGTTCTTTCTGCCTCTTACTGTGCAAAAGCAGATAATTGTGTCCAGTTTTTCTAACAAATATGTAACACTCAGAACAACAACAACACCTTGATGCAATAACGTGATGTAATATATACTTACATTGCTTTGAGAGAACAGTTCCTGGTTATTTACATTATCTTTTCTTTTGCTTTTCCCCAGTCTTTTCCCAAAAGCTATCCTATGTCTGACAACACCTCAAACACTGAATATTAAGTTTCTGCCTTCCAATCCTAATCATTTCATTGTTGGAACAGATGTTGTGAGTAACATTCTGAATTTCATTGCGTTAGTCTTTCCTGTCCTATTATTCGAATGATAAAAGCTGGAATTCTTTGGAATTATACAGATACTGCATGTGTAAATATATACTGTTTGATATTATTAAAATAATGTTATTCTAGTTAGTCCTGATCCGTAAGCATGGCAGCTCTATATAAATTGCAATACATAGGACTTTATTTAATATAAATGCTTATGATAAAAATGATATGTTTTTGTTTTGCTTATTTTATTAACAGGGTGTGGTAAGTCATGGTACAAGACATGATTTAAGAGTTCTTCCAAAGCTGTTCAAACCCCAGCAGGGTGGACCAAGATCAGTAAGAGCTAATGCAGTCGATTTCTCTCCTCTTGGAAAGCCAATATTTTTGGTATGGAAGGTTTTTTATCTAACAATTTTTTAGTTTAAAAATATTTGGGGTAGTGGATTTCTAAGATTTCTAACTCAACACATTTAATAACACTTAATTTACATTCCTAGTTCAGAACCCTCTTGAGAGATAGCAAACAAGTATTGCATATTAGTGATTGAACTCATCATATGCTAAGAGATGAAGCATCTGACTTACAGAAACAGTGACAATACCAGAATACATTATTCTTAGAATGTACCGTATTTTCCGGCGTATAGGGCGACTGGGCATATAACACGACCCCCTATCTTTTTAATTAAAAGATAGGGTTTCATCTTATACCCCAGCGCCCCTCCGCCTCCTTTGCTCCCGATGTCCCTGGTCTGCTGGAGATGGTCCCCAGCAGACCAGAGGCACCGGGAGCAAAGCCGCCAGGAGCGCCTGGGATGCCCCCCCGCCGGCTTCCCCCGAGGCTTTCCAAGCCGCGGAGGGGCTCCGGCCGGGGGGGGAGAC